CATCCATCTTAGTACAAAGATGGATTTTCCCACCGTCTTGTATGAGAAAAGGTGGACTTAGTAATGATCCTGTGGACTGCAGCCATTCCTGAAGATGCCCACTACAAGGGACTACCACCACGCAGGAGACCAATGCCAACTTTGAAAAAGATTTTAAATAAAGATTATGAATATTAAGTGTTTGAATAAAGATTCTGAATAAAGATTTTGAAAGAAGACTTTGAATAAAGATAATCCTTCACATTGGAATCAAAATTTGATAGAGCTTTCAAGTGCTTGAATTTGGTAAATTGAAAATGCAGTTCTTTTTTCTTTTGATACTATTCACACACTCGGAAATAAAGAACATGTCACTATGGAAGCACAGACAATTGTATATTAGAACTTTTGTAGTTTTTATTGGCAAGAACATGTATATACAGATCTGATGATTGTACATGTTGGACGTCCTTGGCATGAAATCAATTTGATTATGTCAACTTCTTAAACAAAATGTTGCATTCTGATAGGGAGAAGCATTCAATATTGTGCATGATGTCATCAAAACTTTAAACGTAAGCATAACCAAAAATTCATTATCTAAATTTAATGATATTTATTTCTCATCAGTATTTACTCTTTGGTATGAGTTGTTGGTATTTTGGTGCTCACAATATTTCTCAACTCATAAAATCCATAAATGCTCTTTGCTTATGAAAAAATGCATAACAATTATGCATGAAACTTATAATACATTTGCATTGATCAGTACACTTGTTTAGAATCAAGTATGCTCCACACAACCAAAATTATTTTCCATGTACAGAGAAGTATGATACATACAATGTAGCAACTTACAACTGAAACAGTCTTCTCTTTAACTATTAACGTTAATCATTATTTTGCATACATTGGATGTATGTTAACATGTAAGGGTGTTAACAGCTTGCAGTAAGACATGATTCACTGTCCTTTTTTAATTTTTTTTTTTTCAAACCATAGATTGGCTGAAGGATTTAGCACTGGACTAGGAAGTCTGGATGGAAGTGTTCTGCCTCCTTTTTCTTCAATTTTTCATACAATTAAATTTTGTATTTGTAACACTAATAGCAAATGCTTATTCTCAGTTTTCTTGTTTTTATTATACAGTTTTTGTCAAATTTTTGAAGCAAATAAGAAATTTTATATGTCAAAATTTTCAAGCAAATAGAAATTTGTCTTTAACTCTTTTTTTTTTTACTCAGCTTGACATGTCCAGTCAATTATCTTAATATTAGCTTAGTCTATATAGTGTCATTGACCTACATAGTGATACGGTACGGAGTACATTATTTTTCACCTACACAAGTTAGTTTGACAAAGTCAGATGCTATTACAGTAACACTTCAAATTAAGGCACAGCCTAACATGTGACCAGCAAGCTGGAAACTCTGGCAAGCAAGGCATTTTTTTGTCATCTAGTCTAAAGTAGACAAGCAAAAAAAGATGTTTGTACATCCAAGGACACTTAAACTTTTTATAAGGGCTTTCTAGATGCATTTCTAAGTACATTGTACACATTGTCTTCAGACTAACAACTTGTACAAATGGCTTTTAAACTTCTTCAACAGTAGTCTAATTCTTAAGTCTAAGTCTTTTATCCACAGAACAGAATGTAACATGAACACGTTTTGCTGCAAACACTGCAAGAGAAATGTTTTTTTTACATAATTCCACTGGATACCTTCACGGTTCTGCCTTTAACACGGCTCTGCATTTCACATCGAACAAAAAAACAATGGTCTCACATAATTAAATTTCTAACAATCACACTTTTTTTAAACACAATTTTCACCCATTTCTTCTTTTTTTTTGCAGGGCCTGGCAGCTATAATAGAAATATTGTACAACACAATTTACACATTGAGGGGAAAAACACACACATCAAACAATAGTAAACCATGCATCATGATTATCATGATTGTTCAAAAACTTGATTATCAAGTTTGATAATTTGTAGACTATAATATAATGTAGCTATCATATAGACCAATTCCATACATACATGTAGCCCTGTCCACCATTAGCAAACATTTTTTTTTTTCCAAAAAATATAACTGCAAAATTTCATCAACAAAATAAGGGGTGTGCAGACTTATATTGGTTTTCACTGATAATTTCAATGGACAGTTATTTGGATTGATTTTTTGTCAACCTTTGCAGAAAAATAGCAAAATTACAAGAAGTTTGGCCCCCCTTAGCAATTCAACGTACAGCTTTTCTATTTGGCATAATGCCTGAATCTTCAAGCAATTGGTAGTCATTGATATTATATACAGTATGTACACGTGTTTGTGTGTGTACATGCAAAGCTAGACACATTGATACGTGTGCTGGCAGTTCTTTATGTACAATCTTGGCACCAAACAATTAGCAGATACAGAGTAGACGACACTGGGAACATGGACTATATAGGACTGGAGGTCTATGGGGGAAAATAACTGGTAGAAGAAACTCAACTTCTTTTACAATCTTTTTCTACAACCTTGCTATTTTCCCCCTGGCTAAAATAGAAACAGAACAGCTCAAATTTTTATGAGAATCCTCCCAACTTAAAAATTGACCAAACTCTAGTCAAAACTGAGAAAAGGAAAACTTGTGTAAAAAAAGTTCCTTCAGAGAAAAAATGAGAAGTCTTAGAGTATCAGTATGTTCCCAGAAGTGTCCATCTAACACTGACTGCATGATTGATATGAATAATTCATCAAGGTTTAAAGGCAGAGGTTTGCGACTTCCGACACGACATTTTCATTATCCTATGTACACCATGTACTCAACATTATTCTTTTCCTGTTTGAATGAAATATACATGTCATGTCAGGGCTCGAAATACCACCTGGCGCGGTGAGTGCATACATGTGTATAACTATGCAGGTTAGTGCAGGTAAAATTGGAGATGTGCAGGTATTTCTGATGACTACCTGTACTGGGTTTACAAAATGTAGGACCTACATGTAAATGTATGTGTAGATTTTCACTAGCTGTATTGACGGTTACCACCTACATGTACATGTACATGTATGCATACATTAAATTACATGTATAATTTAACAGCAATGGTTTCTCAATATTTTTCCATACTTCCTAAATTCTGAGTAGACCAGTGCAGGTAAAACTTGTCTGGTACAGGTAATTTTCAATGTTACAGTGCAGGTATGCAGAAAGAAGTATTTCGAGCCCTGTCTCTGGTTAGAGAGGTAGAATTCACGCCGTTGCTGATCATAGCGCGAGTCGTAAGAGGGCCATGATTCCGGCAGACACGCCTCCCGCCACAGGTAGTGTGATGATCCAGGCAAACACAATGTTACGGAAAAGTTTCCAGTCCACCGATGCTTTGGATCTCAGCCAACCAACAAACACGATAGAACCAACCTGCAACAAGAACATACAAGAATACATAAACTCCCTGCCAAAGCCACATTTGACCTTGACCTTTGTCTTATTAAGACCTACAATGTACCTACATACATTGTGATACCAAATACTGTAATTCCTGATTTTTTCACGGTATTGTTACATTGTATGTTCACTGTTTTCACTGTCACTTCTGTACAGTGAACTTATATTTAATGAACTTTTATTTATTAAAATTTATATTATTATAGTTAACAAATGAATCCTGGACTTTCTTTTTCCTGCACCTGCATGTCACTACATATGCAGTAGTTCTGTGAACATGTCCATTTTTCTCAGACTGTCAAATTTTGCATCCGTGAACAGAAAGTGAATTACAGTATTATCACAATCCATAAAGGCCTGCATAAGTTATGTTGACTGCAGAAAGACAGGCAGACCCAAAACAATACCTCCATTTTTCATGGAGGTAAAAACAAAAAGCCGTACCTTGCAGTGTGTGGTGCTGATAGGAATGCCGATATTGGAAGCGATCAGAACAGTTGTGGCCGCTCCGATCTCGATAGTGAAGCCACTGTGAACACAAAACAACAAATTAAAAATTCAAGACATTAGCCATACAAATATGAAATTCGCTACCGCTATGCGTAGCTTTGTGTACAATGTAGTCGATAAGCAAAGTAGTTGATCTTAATTCAGCAACTTTAATTACGTGGAAAATATCCTTATAGAAACCTATCCACAAAACATGGAATGGGTTTATATTATAGACAGAAATGTTTACTACAGCTGTTTTCGTGGCAAAAATAGAATTCAATTCCTCTCTAAAATTTGTATCAAAAACAGTGATCAATCAAATATGTCAGCAGGTCACTGTATAATGTGCGATCATAAAGGGTCATGCTAACTGAGACTAGTAAGTACATGATGTAGAGATTCTAACAAAACTGTAGGACAAATGTAGGACAAAATGTAGGACAAAAATATCTACTACAGGATTTTTATCTTTTATATGGCAAGAAGAGAATTCAGTTCCTCCCTGAACACAGTCATTAATCAAACATGTCAGTAGGTCAATGTATAATGTCATTGTGGATCGTTCCACTAACCTGGAGGGGGTGATAGCAGTCAGGTCCTCCCCGATGGTTTTGATGACCCTGCGGCCCCACACCCAGAGTCCAATGATCATACCGGCGCCGCCGTACGCCAGGATCCACAGCGGCGTGGCAGACTTCTGCGCAACGCTCCCCTCCTGGTAGACGAGCCACAGCGCCACAACAGGGCCGATAGCATTACTGTAGGAAACATTTGGAAACATGTTTTGAGTTAAAACTTTAGATCTAACACAAAGGTTTTCACCTGTGCTTTCAACTAGTTAAAAACTCAGATCTGGTCTTCCTCAGTAGACTGACCCAGTGAGACTTGTCACATGGCTTTTCTGAAGTGTGTGACGGAAGCAGAGAGAATTTGCAATATCAAATTAAGACCACTTCAAAGTTGTACACCTCCACAAGTTAGCCTGGTTGTCAAACATATGCTGGACGCCAGGCTACCACAAGTAAAATGTTAGGAACGGAAAAAGTATGGTACAATTTATAAAATATAGTACTAGTAGTACATTGTATTCGATTGGGAAACTTTTAAAACACTTTTCAACGGTTACCTGTATTCTGCATGTAACGGGTGATGTTAAGTGTGTTGACATTTATCAAACAGCAAGAATGTGCAGATTTACAAAAATTTCAAAGTTAACGGACTGCAAAATATACTTCTATGCATATGCTTTTCCAACCGGATCATACATGTATTTGAAATTTTACTGGACTAAAGATAAATTTATGATTTAGAGCTCAATTCAAATTGTCCAATAGTAATAAAAGAGACAGTCTCCCATACCTGACATCGTTGCCTCCGTGAGCGAACGCCCCGAATCCTGCCGTCAGCACCTGCAGAAACTGGAACAGTTTCCCCACCTCCGGTCTGTCCTTGGTTTCCTCGATGTGCAGATGTGAGGTCGGATCCTCGTGATCCTCAAGTTTCTCTTCCACGTCTTTTGACAGCAAGGTACCGTAGTGAGTGTCCTCCTTGCTTGCGATGTCTCCGTTGCTTACTACATCTCCATTGGTTACTACGTCACCGTTACAGATGTGCCCATTGGCTTCAGGGCTGTAGGATTTCTCCTTTGCGTTCATGTTAGCGTCGGCGGGAACGATGATGCCGTTCTCGGGAGCGATCACGCCGTTCGGCGGTGACGCGGCGTTCTTGAGATTCTCTTCCTCGTCCTTCGAGTCTGCTTTCTCGTTGATGATCTGAGCCTTGTCGTACTTGACAGAGTTTCCGATGATTGTGATGGGGAATGCGTTGGCGAAGTGTTCTATGGACTGGCGCCACATGGACTGGCTCTGGGACATGTTGGCCTTCGACTCCTCTTGAATTTCTGAAATTATAGAAAGATTCATTTGTTTTGAATTGAAATTATTGTATTTTGTGATAAATCCTGCAAATACTCTGAATGTCTCAACAACATGTTGGAATTGGACTCTTCTTGAATTTCTGGAAGGATGGAAAAAATCTAATCAATTCAATTGGTTTAAATTTAAATATGATGAATCCTGTGAATGACTTGTAGATGTACTGGGAAACAAACCCATGTAAAATGGTTCTAATACTGTAACTGGAAAAGATTGTGTCTCGCCAGTCTGGTAACTCGAGGATTGCTACTGCAATGTCATAGACAGTACAGCCTGCAACTGGGAAATGGTTCTGGACCAATCACCTGTTCAGTTGTTAGTTAAGGACAGTAGAAGAAGTGTTAAATAACCCAATTACTAAGCATGTCAGCAGAACGTACTGCACCCGCGTGAAACCCATAATGTATTATGCATAGCACTTCAGCAGAACATCAGATTCTCATACTGTACATGTTTAAGGTCGTATTCGCTCATAGTACCATACAAGGGTAACATCCCATTTCCGACATGCAAATGTTGTCGGAAAAAAATATAGTCTGCAACAGGCAAAATTCTGATGCAAACGTTGACCAAACATCCAACAAAAACCGTCAAAAAATCAGGGTTTCGCGTAGGCGGAGTATGTTCTGCCAACTTGCTCAATTACAATACAATAAGATGTGAAAGATTAGTCATTCCAATTCATGAAATCTTTCTCATCAGTTAATGGTTGAAAATTTTATTGAGAGTAGCTATATGATTGTTGATTTCCACCAAAGTTAATTGACACGGACATTTTTTAACACAAAGAAATTTACAACTATCTAGATCATGTTATGTGCAATTTAAAAAAAAATGAAAAACAGTGGCTTTATATATAGAATGATTTAAATAAGTGAATTTTGTATGGGTTATTGTTGATAATGTTAGATTGATAAAGAGTGACACCTATATTAGATTACACCACCATTTGGAGAGTTATTAACCACCACTGTACTTTGTACAAACGATCCATCAGGGGGTTCGGGGCGTGCATGGGGTTTACTCCTGTCATGTTCTGAGTCCACCAGGTTTTTTTCTTCTCCACACATGTCTGAAAAGGTTATGGTCACTCTTCCGATTAGCAATGATAACATTAATTTTAACAGGGTCAAAACAATTCATCCCTTTTAGTAATCAAATGCAGGCTGGGCTTCTTAGCCTCCTTTGCAGACTTCTGATGTGGCGAGGGAAATTGTTGGGGAGAGATGGTTTCCACACATCAAGAAATCTGCTTGCAGTCAACAAGCAAAAAGGGCTTGATTCGCAGAAGCCATCTCTCCCTGGCAAAATATAGAAATTTGCGAAGACGACTAGGCTTCTAGGGTCAGGAGAATCAAAATTTAACACTATTAGCAAAGTTTGAAATACTTGACGTATGTATAAGGTGAAGAGTTGAGGCAAACCTACCTTAGAGACCTCTGTATTGCTTGTTTCAATTTCAATAAAATAAAATCAAGTAATTTAAAGTAAAATAGAATTATAGAATAGAATAGAATAGAATAAAATAAAATAAGAAACATAATAACTTAAAAGTAAATAATCAAGAACTTTGTTGTACAGTATACAACATGTGTTGTGTATAATTGTTTTCTGTAATTGATCTACTGTACAGTACAAGTTTTCCAACGGAGCCTTATATGTAGTCAATTTTATTTCTTCTTCTTTTCATCTTGGCAGACGTTCTGTTCATCGTCGATGGGCTCGTCTGTGGGCAGCTATAAATGATTTAAAAAAACCTTTTGATTACCTTGGATCTTCCTCCTCATCCATGGCACCACAAACAGCCAGACCATCAGACCTGTCAGCAGCCCTCCTCCAAAACTCAGGATGAACACACCGTACAGGGGGATCTTATCAAACCCAAGTACTGCAACAAACAGACAAAAAACAGTGTAGCCCTTTTCTGTAGAGCGTAATTGGCCGTTTTAATTCTACATAGAGCATAGACAGTCCACTTTTAACATAGAGTGTGATTGGTGCATTTTGCGTAGAGCGTAATTCGCTGTTTTAATTCTATGTAATGCATTGTAGCTAGCCAGAAGTTATCTTCAAACGTAATGGGGAGGCTCCTGAATTCAGCATAATATGTACAATGTAGCCTCAGGCTCTCAAAATTTAGCGTAGGGCATTGTCAGGATCCCTCAATTCAGGCCTTCATCTATAGATCAATCTGTACCGTGGCCGACAAGAACAAAATTTTACACCGCAACTTTTGGTGTTTTACACCGCAACTTTTGGTGTTTTACACTGCAACTTTTGGTGTTTTACACTGCAACTTTGGGTGTTTTACACTGCAACTTTTGCTGTGTTTTACACTGCAACTTTTGCTGTGTTTTACACTGCAACTTTTGCTGTGTTTTACACTGCAACTTTTGGTGTTTTACGCAGCAACTTTTGCTGTGTTTTACACTGCAACTTTTGCTGTGTTTTACACTGCAACTTTTGCTGTGTGGAAAACTTACACCCCTCCCCTTTTATAATGGACGGTCCCCCTCTCAGGTTAAAGGTGACAACGATGGCATGCAAACTACGTCGACTGAGTTATCCTTTTCGTGCATAAGTTTTTTAGAGGAAAAGCTTGGCTACGTTGTGACGTTAGTTTTTTTCTAAAGGTTTTTCTAGCTTTGGCCTATAGATCGGGATACATTTAAAAATGTTTCGACCAGGTCCAGTGATTACAAATTATGTTGATGTCTCACACTCAGTCACAGCACGACACTGTGACTCTCAGGCCGCCGCCATCTTTGTCACCTTTGACCTGACAGGGGGACCGTCCATTATAAAAGGGGAGGAGTGTAAGTTTTCCACACAGCAGTGTGCACACACAGTTGCAGTATAAAACACAGCAAAAGTTGCAGTGTAAAACACCAAAAGTTGCAATGTAAAACACCAAAAGTTGCAGTGTAAAACACAGCAAAAGTTGCAGTGTAAAACACAGAAAAAGTTGCAGTGTAAAACACAGAAAAAGTTGCAGTGTAAAACACCCAAAGTTGCAGTGTAAAACACCAAAAGTTGCAGTGTAAAACACCAAAAGTTGCGGTGTAAAACACCAAAAGTTGCGGTGTAAAATTTTGTACTTGTCGGCCACGGTAAATCTGTGGAAGGTTACACTGTACATGTACATTGTAATTCACTTTGTTTTCATGGTAGCAAAATTTGTCATTTTCAAACAATTCTCCACATTCCGTCAACATCTATCTTCCTATCAGCATAACCATACAAGAAATCTTCTGCCGTAACTGTACTAGTAAACAAATTCAGATATTCCTTTCACCCCCTACTCTGTAAATGGAATAGCCGTGATTGATACCACAGCTGGTGATAGGGTTATGGGATGTGGGACATACCAAACACACCATGGGTAAAATTATCACAGGGAGAGAAAATACATCATAAATATCACACTACCGGTCAGGAGAGGGCTGAAGACGCAGTCTGGGGGGCTGAACTGGGCTTTGGGGGCCTCCAAAGGCCTTCCCCCGATGTGCATTGTTTCTATGTAGATGTAAGGGGCTACAAGGGACTGACACCAAAGTTCACACCTTGGTATCAAAGGGCTGAAAAGGACTTCGCACGTCCGTGTCAACGAGCTCTCGCTGTCATGATGCGAGGTTGCGGTAATTCGCAGCGCCGCTAGGAGGGCGATCTGATTGACCTCCTGAATCATGTTGGTCTTGGGTAGAAAAAAGCCTGGCCGTGCATCGCAGTACATTTTGTTACAATTTGTAGAAATCTAAAGAGAAGTACTAGTATGTCGCGGCGTCGGGCTGTCGAAAATAAATAAAAAAATCGCTTGCAACGGGCCGAGCGTCCTCGCCTCTGTAAAAAAAAAGCGTTGCCCGGTAGCTGCAAAGAGGTTTAGAGAGTATTAAGCGAGCACATGTTTAGACACCGCTGTCATTGGCTGTACCCTTTTGTTTCACCCCGCTTCGCGCTGCGACCCTTTGTGTAATGTACGCGCGGCCGCCTCTGATCCTTTCACATGAACCTAACAACAAAATACAAGTACCATCCACATGATCCAAAACAACTAGATTGTCCTGTAACACAGTCTACATGATTACTTTGCGCAGGAAGTGCGATTCTGCTTCCTTTCATCGACCATACTGTATCTTTGAGCGAGCGCTGGTTTGCGAAGTCCCTCCCACCGGGCGCACGTTCTCATGAACGTCTCCGGCGCCTTTGATAATACACATTTACTGTACCACGCCTGCGGAGGGAAGAAAAGCAGAAGCCGCTTTGGTAGTTTTTTGAAGTTCTGATAATACCTGTACGTGTCTTACCACGTTTACAATTTATGCCATTCACATTTTCAAAGTCTCAATATCTGAAAAATGCGTATCTGCCTCCCAAACATAAATTAATCATTCAAAGAAGCGATGAGTCCTTCGCCCACACGGCGTGCACACTCCGTGCGCACGGCATATTTACGGTGAGATACTGAACACAGACAGAGTACGTACAGTAAAATGAGCTTATAGGGCGTGGTTTCGCTTTTATAGCAATAATTCCTTATTAGCATTTGTTATTCTAAAATTACCATGATACTTGTTTTATTCTTATTTTTCTATGTATCTGTTTGACAATTTTGTGGATAATACATGGGATTATTATTAGCGCAGCGGCTACACGCTGTCTCGGCCGTGGAGCCGAGTTTATTCAGATTGGAGTGCAAACAACTCTGGACTACTAGTAGTTGGAAGAAATGATAGTTGCGTGGTGTTGGAACTTGAAGTATGATTGCTGCAAGGTTGAGAATTAATCTAAAGCCGACAGAAAAACTGGCATTTTGTCAGAAAAACGTACGCCACAAAGAAAGGTCAATGACCGTGCCTAGCGAGTCGAAGTCGGCAGCGTTAAAGAATTTTCTGCAACTGCTATACTGAAGCTATGATTTGATCATGAGCGCTGTGACAAATAAAAAAAATAGCGGGGTTTGACGTTGACACTGATTGTTCCTGAATAAAACAGCTTGTAGATTACGTGATACGCCTGTGATATTTACGTCCATGCTTTGGTCATGCTTTTTTAGTTTAGGCCTTCACTATTCCCACGGCTGCACGTACTGTACTTGATTGACAGGCGGTTCCCTTTGAAAAAGTTGCCGTCGGCGCCTCAGAGTCTGTTCGGCCTACGGACCGAATAATTCAATTATCTGAGCAGCCAATGAGCACTGAGAAAAATGTTTCGTCCATCTTCGCTGTAAAGTCGATCTTCACCGACTATAATCGAGGTTCTACGAAGAATCCCGAAATTTGTCGAGTGTATACAGCGGTGTTTTCAGGCGCTTGCTGCAGACGACTAGCCTGAGTGTCAGCCTTGTTAGCTTTCGTCCGCTACCCAAGGTCCGCTCCGCGTTGGCGGGGAGCGGACCTTGGGTAGCGGACGAAAGCTAACAATGCTGACACTCAGGCTAGCAGACGACAGGATCGCAAGACAGATGATTTGTGACATTTCAGAACGGAGAAAAATCTACAAGACACTGATATTTCTGCATAAAATTAACGAATATTTAATGTACTATGGAAACGTCAGTCCTTCATTCCGTGAGGCTGAAGCAGCAATGTCAGATTATGAACCAACTATTACCTGTCGTGGATATTCGACAGGTTCTGGACTGTGTACTATGTGTGTGCCGCGAGCACCATTCGAGAAGTTTTACAGGGTGAACAGATTTCACTCGAAGGTACTAGCTTGACACTGAATTCACGCATGCGGCTGGCTCGCAACATGAGAAAAATGTGAGATACCGTAATCATGGAGGTAGAAAAAAGAGAGTCTCTTTTTTTCTACAAAAAAGAGTCTCTTTTTTTCTACCTCCATGCCGTAATTTTAAAAAAGTAGAGCTGCCGAAAAATGTTACTTACCTTTGAAAAAAAGCCAGCTCCCACTGAAATCACCTCTTTTCACATTTTTGGGGGACACTACTTATACTTACCTCTAAATTTATTGCGTAAGATTCGTCGGGTGTGTAAACAACATTCATTTTCATTCAACAAAAAAATGAGCTGTAGCTGTGATCTGTATAATACTTGAAGTAGCGCCCTAGACTAGTACTTTCCTTCTTGATACAATCATTCAATCCGAGAACAGGACGTATTAGTTTGTAATAATAATAACATTTTCTAATGTTTCTGAAACACGAAAAAATGCTGACTAGTTTACCAGTAATTTATTTTCGATACTTATACATGACTTTCCTTTCAATAGTACTAGCAAGGAGGTTCAAGTTTTTTGTATGAAAGAAACGCCTACCAAAAAAGAAGTTATTAGAAGTCATGGTAGTATTACAGACTAACTAATTTTGGGCAACCAAACACATACATAAACGTTACTTAAACAATTCGTCCTTGTTTCTTGCAACCTCCTTTAACGATTTTCGGATGTTGTCGTCATTTTATTCGTGATAACAAAGTAACAAAGAAATGAACTGGACAACGTGACCCGACGGACTCAAGTTATACAACTTGGGTATCCGCCACGGGCCACCACAGAACGCCGAGAAAAAGCTTTCGAACCGTCGTTTCTGACCAGATTTCACAAAATAGAAGAAAGGGGATGCATTTGCATCAGGGTGACAATGATAATTATTTTTTGTTTGACAATACGCCCGCGTGTTTGACAGTGCATAAGAATAGTGAATAAATTACGGGTTTTCTAAGAGTGGTGCACTTTAGTGGTAACAACAACAGACATCTGTGTTTAGAATTTGGTCGATTTCGTATATTCTCTTACTAGTTCAGACGAAGATATTTTTGGGTGAAGGTGAAGGAAAATCTTCTTTTCTCTTCAAGCGAAGATTGGAAGACAGACTTCGATTCTCAAAAATCTTAACATGGTCGATATTACAATACACATTTCTGTCTGGCACTGTCTGTCCCTAGCTTTAGCTCTGCATGAAAAATATAACAGGTATGCATCAAATATCCAGTCCAAATCGGATTTTTTTTCACCACGGAGGTTACAAAAGGTTCCACGTGTTTTCCTTGTTACTTAAATAAGATAGCAGTGAAGAAAGATATTTTTCTATAAAAAATACCCGCGTGAGAACAAAATGCATGTTCTAGAGTATCATTCTTAGTAACTTGTGTCCAAAAGGCTACTACGACATGTAGTACCAAGGTCCTTGCTAGTACTTAACTTGCCTCTGTTATTATTCGTAATGCTATGTTACCTTTTGTTTGTACAGGCACACGGACACCGATCGTCGGAGGAAAGCTATCCATGCCGTTAGGCCTTGCGGGGGAGATCTTTTTTTTACCTCTTTGGTCTTGCCAATATAGAATTGTTTTGGCCAATATCTGTTCTGGATTTTGTTCCGTTTTGACTTACTGTTTGCTAGCTTGATACTCAGGGAATTATAATTTTACTAACGTGGGGATTCACACATGTCAGCAGAATTCAACCAACAAAGCGACATATCAAACAGTTCAGTCTCAACACTATATGTTACTGGGAACAAGAAGGTGCAACCTTAATCTAGAGTACTAGTTAGGACAAACTATGATCGTTCCAAAAACTATATTGATAACAACTCTTGGAAGAACAAGTCGGCATGCGCATGCAGTATTCTCCCTCGTACAGTTTTTAGTCTAAGCACCTGTATGTATAAAAGAGAACATACAAAAAGTTAATTACGTGTCAAAAATATATCTTATATAAAAATGGGGGGTTGTGACCCCGAGACTTTTCCAACAAGTTCTGTTATATTCAGTGAGAGCTGTCGACGATACAAAAGGAAACATGACACGCAACGGACTCATGCACCTGGTTTTGAAACGACCGTTGCGTCTCCGACTATCAGACACACCATATTCATTCTTGCTATAAATTAGTACTAGTATAATCTGCACAAGGAGGTTTAAACCTTAATCTGAATGATTAAAAAATAGCCTCAGCTTTTCGTAGGTTACACCATGGAGGTAGAAAAACACACACTGACAGAAAGTAGACGTGTTCAAAATCCATATAAACTGCAGTAGAAAATTAGTCAAAGCTCCTTGTGTTTAAATCTTTAAGCTACAACCTGCCTGTGTTATGTTTGTATTTGTTACCAAATCGTATTCCGCATCTAATAGCGGCCGCCGTAGAATAAAATAGAAGCCCTGAAACATTTTATTGGCAGCGTAATTCTCCTTGGTAAAACAGAATTGCCGACCACAACTTGGCACGCGTGTAGCGAAAGTTGTACCGACTTCTTTGATCTGAAACTCGAACCGCCCCTTTCGGCGGTTGCGTCGGAGTTCATCAATCAATTTTGACAGGACTGGCCATGGGGCGCCGTGATGTCTTGGGAGAAATGTTCTACTACGAGATGTGTGTGAATTTTGACTTTCAATATCAGGATTACTACTCCATTCCTACAAGAACCCTGACTTCATTTTTGAAAACCACTGTTTTATTCAAAGCGATTTGGCGGATGCAATAACTCATGAGGTGTTTATTCATTACTTGATTGATATAATATGAAAAAAAAATGCCAGTGGTCTTTCCTCCCCGTAAGCACATATTCAGCCCCGTGCCGAACTGCGTTGTGTATTCGATCAGTAAGCTCGTGCCGCCTCGTGGCCGGCCGCATCAATGAGGTTTCTTCTGGCCGTGTAAACGTCATCTTTCGACCAGTTTACTAGTACATCATTCACTCCGGGAAGGGCCTTGGGTTTGGAAACTTTTTTGACCCGGGGGGAAGGACCTAGGAAATCTTTTAAACACTAATTCTCACCGTTAAATATCGTACAATAGAGCATTACGCAATCCGTTTCGGCACGCCGGCGGGGAGCACATCGGGCGACGCAGACAGAAGAAATCGGAAAATTATTACGCTGTGTTTGCGGGATAAATGCCGGCACACGAACTTAAATTATTATCTTCAAAGAATTACACAGTTCCTATACGAAAATAGCTGGCCCAAAATGTAAACGAAAGGCAACTTTCGCCCGCAGCTGACTTATTTTGACCGGTAGATATAGGATTCTATTCGTGCGCCGTAATGGACACACAATATCGCGACATTGCGCGCTGACGTGATCGGTATACAACTGTCGTAAAACCAAACGTAATTATTTCTCTACCGCTGCATCTAGGACCGAAAAAAACATTAAAAACATTACGTACGGCATTACGTACAAATGCCGAATCTACCGGGAGTTCCAAATATGGGAATCGTCGGAACCTTGCTGGGGCACTTCGGCTACCTCGGCCTTTGTCGGTATTCGAAGTTCGGTATGTGTTACGTCATACTGTAGCTCATTTGAATACCTCGGCTGCGGTACAGACAAGATCAGAGGCGGCCGCGCGTACATTACACAAAGGGTCGCAGCGCGCAGCGGGGTGAAACAAAAGGCCACAAAAGGGTACAGCGGTGTCTAAACATGTGCTCGATTATCCTTATCAGTACTGAACTTTTTTCATAACCAATAGATACAAATACTGTATAATAGCGCACACTTTCTAGTGGACATGTGGGCAGCGATTGTTTATAGAAGAGTAGATTGGTTGGTATCTTGTCTCACGTTGACCGGGCGATCGCGAGAGTTTTAAAGGTGGGACTTTTTTTTAACCTTGTTTGTTTGACAACGAGGAGTGTAATATTTAGCACCGAACATTTTGCCGCTGGGGGGCGCTGGTGATCACAGCGACATAAGGGTGCGCCTACTTCACACCTTGTTCGGAGGTGCTAAAAACTCAAGGGTCTTAGAAGGGCTGAATTCCTATTGTATTCTGCAGCAAAGTAAACACGCGGGATCCCATTCATTTCCTTGCATAATTAGACCAAACGTGAACAAAAGGGGAAGCCCCTTTTAGTCCCTTGAAGCACACAGAAACAATAGAGAAGCCGAGTAAGGCCCAATGAAGCCCCCCAGACTGCCTTTTCAGGTCTTTCCTGACCGGTAGTGTCAGGAGCTTGTCAAAAATACCACCATCCATCTCAACACAAAGTAAGCTTTTTCCATATCATTAAAATCAAAAACACTTTTCTATGGCCTTATATGGGAAGATTGTTTTCATATAATGTAATAATAAATACTTACATGGAGTTCTGGTGTAGAATATAGAGAACAGGTTGATGATCAGAGTGAAAGCATAAAATCCTGGTAGGAACTTCAGACCTCTCTCAGCCGCATTGTCCTACAAAAACAGCACAGAAATGGTAGATTCAAGGGTTAGTTTGACTGAAAAGCAATACTCTACACATGTACTGTGGGGTTGTGTGGCATAACAGTAGAATGTTTGGCTCAGACCTAAGAGTAAATCCCGGGTTCAATTCCTGCCCGATGCCACCGATCTTGTGCCCTTGGGAAAAGCACTTTACACAACTTTCCCCACTTCACTCAGGTGGAAATGAGTTAATGATGTCCTTCGGATAGGACGTTAAATGGAGGCCCCATATTTGGAGAGCCACACCCCACACACGTTAAAGAAATCACAACATTTATCGAAAAGAGAAGGGGACTTTTCACAACATTTATCGAAAAGAGTAGGGGACTTTTTGGTGCAAGTGGTTCAAACCTTACAGTCCGGTCTTACGTTATGAGCTTGTACTTATGTACATGTACTTTACAACTGTACATGTAAAAAAATGTGTGTTACACCTAAAAAAAAAGGTGGTATACCGGTTATGCAAAACAAACAAGCTGTCTTGAAGTATTAAAAGCATTACGTTTTTCTTTCATGACAAAGCTCCTAGTCAAGAACTGAATTAAATAATACATATAATATCATTACTTACCTTTTTCAAGATGAAAAACTCCACAAACTTGAAGAATACTGAAGTGATGAGTCCAGACATGATAGGGGAAATCACCCAGGATCCAACTAAAGTTGGGAGGATAAAAAATATATTCATCAGAAGAGAAACAGTTATACAAATCATAATTGATGATATACTGTTCATGATATATTTATGAGGATAAAAGACCTTTATTTTACATTTTTGCTCTTACAAGCTAGTACAGGTTATGAATAAGAAACAAAATATCTGATATATAACAGTCACTGTGGTGGATAACCTGGTATCCAGTCTATCGTGGTTGGGGCGGGTTTTCTTCGGGGCTGCAGAAATTCTTCCCCGCCCGCCTGAGCTAAGGGTCCCCCAGTAGGTTTTTCACGGCAAAGTTTGATGTGGGGCATCAACTCCCGTCGTGTCAAACTCTATTAGCAAAACTCCTACCGGGCAGTCTGTTGTACTGGGCAGGGGGAAAACTATTAGAGCTGTAACAGTGGGGGGTTTATAGGCGCTACCAACAGATCCGGCAAAAGGGTCTAGACCTTTTAGCGGAGAGGTTAGAGTGTCTGACTGGGGCCCGGGAGGTTGTGGGTTTGAACCCCGGCCCGGGACCAGTGGGGTTTTTACTGTCTCCTCCTGTTTCTTACAGAGCCCTGAAGACAGCCTGTCCCAGCCACAGTAATATGAAAATTGATGGAGCTGGCTGGTTACATGAGGGAGCAGCGCCCTTATTCCCCAGTTTAGAAAAACCAGGGGAGCCTGGACTGGATACCAGGTTATGTGCTGGAAGGCTAACTAAAGATGCAGCCACATGTAGTTACATGTGACTTAATGGCTGCTCTACTTTTAGTATGACGGAACTAGGACGGGTGCATTTTGCACCCTTGAGGCAAAAATTTCAAGTTGATGGACGTTTCAAAGCTCGTTCTAACATGATCTTTAGTCTTTTTTTAACTACCCGAGAATAGAATTGTGACGTTATTGCTGTTTGGTGGCACTTTTTCTGGATCAAAGGGTCGTGGGTTCAAATCCTGGCCAAGGGTTCGTGGAGTTCAGAACTCTGATCTAGCATGGACACACTAGCGTGTATCTTATAATTCACTGTCATTCAGGTAAAGTCAAACTTTTAGTTTTCTAACCTATGTACAGTCTTTGTTTACCCACTATCTGTGCTTTAATTGGGATATGGGAGGCTGGCCAATTATTAATATCAAAACTCTGTCCGGGCCAAATCCTTAAGGCCACACCAAGTTAATTTGTTGGTTGATGGATTCACCCGCTTCATTATTTTTCTGATTAGCAAAAAAAGCCTCATGTCAGCCTCTGAGTTTAAATCAACTCTAAAATTCTCAAATATTGGCCACAAGTTGAGTCCCTTCTCTTCAGAATTGTAACAGTTTTGCAATAGATCAACGCAATGGGTTGATTAAAAGTTTGAAATTCATTGTATGGTACAATGTATGTTGACTTCATGGCTCTTATTATTAAATTTTCAATTGAGGCAGCTTTATCATTATAAGGATGCCCTGTCGCTTCATATTTTTCTGAAAAAATCTGAGAACCAACAAATCAAATTGGTGTGGCCTAAGCAGATTCTTTCGGGTCTATATTGGCTACCTCTGTAACCATGGGCCACCCGTAGCAATTGGTTTAACCCCCCCCCCCATGAATCTCCTTGGACATTTGAGGGGGCGTGTGCAAAGCAAGAGTCAGCTGATGAATGCACTCAGAGTCACCTGATAGTCAATCACTTAACGTTCCAGAGAATTTTTCTAGTTGCTTCATCATTTTGCATAACTGAATGGTCCACCTAATTGTCTAACCTTCATATACACAGTTACAGATGCTGAATCTAACAGAAAGCTGTATGTACATGTATGTCCCCTGTCACAGTGTACATTATGCCACTGCCTCTTCTGGTGACATCCTCAGAACTGCCTACAGGTGTAATCCAATGTATTCAGGTCATCTAAGGGTCACAATAAGTAGTGCGTGCAATTCTCATTCAAAGTACTAGTAGTAGAACAAGTTGCCACAGCATACATGTAATGTACCTACTAATTTAATAATAGTGATATGCCATGCCATCATAGGGCAATTCTACTGGACAGGTGCATTTTGGCACTCTTTCAACTCCCTGATATACCCCTCTACTCAATTGATATCATAATCATATGCACTGTAATACTGTTATTACAGCTCTGGATTTCAGCAGAAAGCCTTAGTTACCGCTATGTACACCACGAATTACAGCTATCTAATGGGAGAAATCACTGAATTAAAAGCAAACTTGCTAATGGCTTCCTGTATATTTGTACAACCAATTATCTAGTTTTAGATACCTGAAGTCGAAAAGCATACTATTAGTCACCAAGAAATTAACTTTTCATTTTGGCTGGTTGCAAAGTGCCATTTGATAGCACTGAGCTGATAAACAACCAACCAGAGAGCTGGAACTATTTTGATCAAGGTTGATTGACAGGTCTGCAAACAACCAGCCACATCCCCAGTGTAGATTATCCTGAGCATCTATTTCAGGGCTGGGAGGTTCAACACAAAGTAGCTTCTTGCTACATGTATGTTGGTGAAAGTTAGAGATCCAGTAAACAATACTCATAGGAAATTCAATTCAATTCGTGCTCTATATTTCTAACTAGAAAGGTAACATTTGCAAAGCGAATGCATAATGTTTACCTTCGCATATCGTCTGCTCTGTAAATTCTTACTCAAACACATTTTATTTGACATACGTGTGTATGGTGACATGAGTCTAAATCCCTCCTACTATAAAATTGCAACATGTAACCCAACACCAGTTACCATGGTGAGAGACGTTCTGGTTCAGGTCATTGACCTTATGTGTTTGGAGCGGAAGCAGAAACAGAGCAAAAATATTTTCCTTCGGCAAACATAACTACAGGACTTACTGATGAGGCCGACTTTGGACCAGTTCACGCCGTTTGTTCCTGCCGCCACTAGAGTGAAGCCGATGGTCGCTCCCACAATGCTGTGTGTTGTCGACACCGGCAGGCGGAAAAAGGTGGCCACTAGTAGCCAGATCCCACTGCCTGAAAACCAGGAAAAGTCAAACATATCAGGCACAATAGGCGTATTAACAAATTCATGATATCTGCTAGTTTTAGTTTGGGCCACACCAATTTTATTTGTTGGTTCACAGATTCACCCGCTTCAATTTTTTTCTGATTTGCAAATTTGAATTAAACCATTTTTAAATTTTTGCATCAGGCCTAGGAAAAAAATGTTGTGTTTCCTGTTTCAGTCTTGAGTGGGTAGGTCTACAGGGATTATCATTCTTTCTTTCTTTCTTTTTTTTTATTCTTTGGCAACCTGGTGATCTAACTTGTACAATACAGTTAAAACAAGTAAAACTTGCATGAGGATACTTATAGTTTCAATGTTCATGTTGGAAAAGTGATAGTACAATATTTTATCACTCAGGTGTCAGATCATGAAGCTAGAAAAGATCGATCAGCTCAAAAAATTCATGTCTCTTAAAGTGATCCACACACAAAAAGCTAGGATCGGCAGTTTTTCCTAGGGTCAACCTGGAAACAGGAAACACAACTTTTTTCCTAGGCCACATGAACAGTACCTTAGTGTGAACTTCCCTTTAAAGTTTTCAAATATGAATGAATACAATTTAGACACACTGTATGTACCTGATAGTGCAGCCACATTCCCAAACATTAGCAGCTCCTCAGTTCCGTTGTACACGTTCACATCAACGATCCCCTTCCGTATCGTGTCCGACACTCTGGCGCCGATCAGGACCGCTCCTAACAGCTCGAACACGCTGGCCAGTATGCAGGCTTGGCGTAACGTCAGGACTTTCGCACCCACAGACGTTCCAACGGAATTAGCAACATCGTTTGCGCCGACAGCAAACGCGAGGATGAAGGCGATTATAAAACCGACAACAACCGCCCACAGCACATCCTCCATCTTGATTTGTTTTTAGTCTTCTCCAAAATAACCTCCCAACAAGAGTTTAAGTCAATATTTTGGATCCTGTGTTTCGGGTCAAAAGACCAGACAGCCTGGTCTCTCTTTTACACAGGTGTTTCAGACAGGTGTCTTCAAATCAGCAATGTTCAAACCTTCCTGAAAAATACATGTAAGAATAAGTTAGACAATTAGCAAGACAAGGATTGACTTAGAACTACATGTACATGTACTGGGTAGGGCAGTCAAATGTGTACAGTACTCACAGTTTGAGAATTGAAATGTGTTTTTTTATACATCAATATCCTGTTGATTCCAGTGCTCATCTCAAGAAAGTTAACAACTTCTACTACTTCTAGCTTTATAATGACCAAATTTCTAGGAACTATGAGTGACCCCCCAGTAACATGCATGCTGTTGGATGAGTGACACAGGCCAGGATTCAAACTTACCACTTCAATTCTTTATCCAGAGGCATCACTAACAGTACACTGATAACTAAATCACTAACACACTATAAAGCTCATCCCAAGAAAGTTTTCTAGCTTTAGGATTACTTCCTAAGCCAAATGAAAGGGACAGTAAATTGAAAAGAGCCTACATTTTGGTTGGAAAAACTGGTCAGACAACTTCGACATCACAACAATTATAGCAGGTTGTATAATTAATTGCAAGGGAAAATGACCCAGTTCAGACAACTACTAAAGACCAGTTTACCTTTCACTGTTCGCATGAACTGCTTATGTCACTGGGGGGACATTTCGAATAGAAATGGGCTTTCGCTTGTGGTGTCCCCCCTGGTAGATTTCTGGATGTGTAACTTTAATTTCTGAAAGTTCCTGACTTGGACCTGTACTATGAGTCTAAAGCTTAATATGGATACTTCACTGAAGGATGGCTGTTTCCTGTTTCCTTCCACCCAATCTCACCACATAGCTGATTCTGATATCTGAGAGCAGAATGCAGACCATCACAGTGATCTGTCAGGGGGGGACATCACAAGCAAAAGCTGCGTTTCAACTTCTGGGTTCTTGAATGGCGTTCTATTCGAAATGTGTCCCCCCACCCATAACATACATGTAAGCTGTTCATGCAATCAGTGAAAGGTAAACTGGTCCGTTTTCTGACATCCTTACTCAGTCAGAGGCACTTGAGGCATGGGACATTGTAGAAATTTTACACTACAGTTATCTATGCAGGGTTGGACAAGTCCCATTGCCCACTTGCCCAGGGCAAGTAAAAGCACTGTTCGGGCAAGTAAATATCCCCCAGTACTTGCCCGATTGGGCAAGTACATTTTTTGGATGCAAAGTATTAGCCCCTGCAGTATTTCAACCAAGTTTTAAACAATTTTGATGAATAAAGCATCCAACATTATAAACTCTTTCTGCTAGTAAAATGCTTAGAAATGTGTCATATTTTGGGCAAGTAAAAAGTTGGTTCGGGCAAGTGGAAATGACCATGTACTTGCCCGATAAGGCAAGTGGATTTTTGAAAACTTGTCCAACCCTGCTATGCAAAACATGGGATTTTCCCGTATGCCATTTGCACTACAGGTGCAGAAAACTTGTATCTCCAAGCAGATCCTATGGTGGCAAGGCTGTAACCATTGGCCAAAGGAGTGTCCATGCCACCGAAGTTACGTTCTCTCCTTTGGCCAATGGTTACTGCCTTGCCACCATAAGCATAGGATGACTTCTCAGAGATTACAGCAGACAGTAATTTTAGTGATTTCACATGAAAGCTGTGACAAAAAGTAGATATTGAATGAGCCACCTTGGCTAATCAACAACAGAAATACTAGTAGATAAATAAACAAGCTACAAGCAAACCAATGTTTGTAAAATTTTTCACAAAGTTTCTCTTGTAGAATTCTTTTCAGGATTAGAACCCTCCAAGGTGTGTTTTCAAGCACCAGTTCAGTACTTAAAGATTTGTTTAACTCCTTGGTTCTGCATCATGGAAGAACAGCCCTAATATTTTAAGTGTCCATTGTTGAATGGGTGAACAGGTGACCATAGTCAACACAATTCTTATCTATTGATTCTCACTAGACAAACACACTTCCAGCCTGAGTTGTTTCAGAGCAAACAGATCAGGGAAAAGACATAGTATATACAATCTTGTAACCCTTTCACCTGTAATGTTACCTGGCAATAGATGACACAATGTACCAGAGGCCTAGGAAAGTAAATATTGTGTTTCCTGTTTCCTGACCAACCCTAAAAAAACTGCCGACCCTAGCCTTTTTTTGGGTGGAGCCCTGCAAGGGACATAATTTTTTTTTAGCTGATCGACCTTTTCTAAATGCATGAACTGACACGTGACTGACAAACGTTGTACAATCGGTTTTCCAACATTGTTATTGAAAATAGAAGTGTCCTAATGCAAGTTTTACTTTGTTACTGTCACTCGGTATAACTATAAGGTGGATCACTAGAGATTGACAAAGTCTAAAAAAAAGATACTAGTAATCCCTACCTACCAACCCTAATTTTTTCGGAACTGAAGCAGGAAACAAATTTCTTTTCTTCCTAGGCCCAAGCAGATTTTGGGGATGGGGGATTCAAATGAAAGAAGCTATTGACAGTCAAGAGAAAAATTGACTGTGCTATAAGTATTCAAATGGTTCCCTTATAATATGTAAAATTAGATCACAGAGATCATAGGTTTTGGGGGTAAAAGTCAACAATTTGAAATAGAGGGGCAACAGTACTTGCTGTTTGTATAGATACTGTTACATTGTACACAACTGACAAAGCAAGGACAGAACACAGAGCTGCTGACTTGCTAGTATTGACAGCAACACATGGTCTCAACTATGCCAGGCTAAACTTTATATGGGGCATACCAAGAAGAATCTCGGGGGTGTAAAAATGAAACGATCATCTATAACATTACATGCGACACATAATGGGAGAAAACAAGCAAAGAAAAAGGCAATAGAAGTACATGTAGATCAGGTATATGGGCTTAGAATTTATCTAAGGTAATTAATTAAATGAGAAATTCCAAAGGGCATGTTTTGATGCTAACAAACAACATGTCCATGCTCTGTTCACTTGGTGTCCACGTGAAAAGACTCAATGCCAAAAAACAAAGCTGGTACTGTTTGAACAACAAGGTTTACTGCCAGATCGTTAAAGTTACATCTAAGGTCACAACAAATAGTTTCCTTGGGTTTGTTTTTCACAATAAAAAGTAAAGATTTTACAAGAAATTCTAAGACAAACTGAAGACTTGACTTCAAGACTTTCCCCTCAGACTGTCGGTTTTCATGTTGATGCTTTAGTTCAGCATTATCTTTCTCAATGTTTTGTTAAATCCGTGAAGCTAACGATAAAATTCCTAATCTTATAGGCTAACATTGGAACTGATTGAAAGCTCATGGAAACAACACCCTGGTCACGCCTACCCGCTGACCAATCACAGCTCTCCATTCGAGGTCAGCAAAGGTCGTCAGCATTGCCGTGTGTTTACTGCAAAACTCGCTCATTTTTGCAACCGAATTGTGTTCCCAACCTCTGCAAAACGTGACGCAAAATGTGCCTAACTCTTCTCTGATGTAGTAGAAAAATGAGAAGGAAACATTTCGGATAGGGCAACAGCTGTCTGAAAGTTGATCTGCAAAGATGAACGCCGGTTAAGGCACGCACATGGGATTTTTCCCGCGTTTTACTGTATTCCCATTTTTGGCGCCTAAATTCTAGATACACCATAATGTATAGCTTACTGCTAGCAATCTGACGATATCCCTGCACAGTTTGCCCAATGTATAATCTTCCTTTTCTTAAGGGTAAGAATATACAAGAAATCTATGCAATCCTACTGAAATACGACTAGCTACAGTGCAGAAAATTAAGACAAAAGCGTACACCCAACATACACCATGTTGCCAGCAAAGATTCATAGATAGCTGGTGTACTGAGAAAGGAAAATACAAGAGCGAACAGTATAGACTGTGGTGAACAACAAAATATGGCAACCAAATACAGAACGCCGTCAAAAATAGCTACCACTGAGAAAGAATGTCAGGCTCTCGGATATGTCAGTGCACGTGTGTGTAGCAATCCGCCTGGTTCACCTGCACATGACCTTACCCCAAGGACATCTCTACAAAGATCTCAATACGAAAAAGACACAACGTAACTCCATCCTTACCTTAGTTTTTAAAGAGCTTGGATCGTCCTAGGAATAACAAACGAATGCAGAGCACACAATGCACGCAGAAAATCTGCCTGTGCAAAGCCGAAATATCGGCGGCGCAGGCGCGCATGTTTAGTGCCGATGCCGATCGCACATGATACACACGTGGACACGCTGTGATCGGCCTCATGACGCCCAAGTCCCGAGAGATAAAACCGCTTTTCACGGTGGCTAGCAACCCTTACGGGTCCTCTAGATACTTCTCAATATTTCTCACATTAAAATGTATATTTGTGTATCATTTTGGTGTATTTGCGATGTTTTTTTTCTCCTTGTTTTTGCCGCGTGATGCCCCAGTGTGTAGTGCATGTACCGCACGAATAGCCAGCCGGCCAGCGCGTGCATGGGTGCGTGCTAAGGACGAGTTCACTTTAACCTCAATAGGGGTGACGCTGCAAATGTTTACGTTTTAACCAGCATTAGTGGGCATTATCTTGTATCCATTCTTTAACTACAATATGATACTATATTTTAACCGTAATAAAAAGATTACATTAAAGATTATAAAGATGGAAAGTAATTTTAAATGTTAATTTTACTAACTCGTTTCCCCGTTTGCTGGACGATTCCATACGTGGACTACGTGCGATTTCTAAATGGCACCGGCTATATATCCATTACCGCATAGTGTACAGGTCGAGGTCGAACTGTATCATTTATCTAACAGAAACCCTTTAAATCACGTCGATCAGCACCATTGTTCAATCTACCGCGTGTTCAACGAAAAGTAAATACAGTTTATCCATTACAACATGGTTTAGGGTCGAGGTAGCATCATTTATCAATGACAAATAGCTTTGAAACCTGTATTCAAAGCTCCTTTATCAAACCAAAGCTAGCTAATTTTTAAACCTCCTTATTCAAACTATAGAAGCACCGTTGTTGTAATTGTTCACTGCAGGCCCGGATTCCACGAAAGTGTACAAAAGTGTAAACACAGCAGTGTGTTTAAAATAGCTTTTTTTTTTTTGTTTTGAGTTTTATTTAGGGGGGCCCGCATAGCATGTCCTTGCCGTAGAGCGTAATCGGCTGTTTTAATTCTACTTAGCTATAGACTCGTATAGAGCGTAGACGGATCGATCTAATTCAACGTAAAGCGTAATTGGCGCATTTTGCGTAGAGCGTATTCGCCGTTTTAATTCTACATAATGCGTTGTAGCCACTTGGAGTTTAACGTAAAGCGTAATAGAGCTAGAGGTTTCCTGAATTCAGCGTAATAGCGTTGTCGGGACTTCCCCCCTCCCCATGCAGCCCCCCTTTTAGCATCCTTCTCTAAATGTTGCATTGGCAAACCATTGCTACATTGGCCTATTGGTCCTGTAGCTAACATCCAGTTGATCAGGAAGACTGTCAATATATATTACGGTAACTAGAAAAAATCGGGAACATTTCACTTGCCTGGGATCTATTCGTTTCTCAGTCAGTTTCCAACGTTCAAAGTCACTCCACAAAAAGCATACAAACTGCTGGAAACTGAATGGATAGGAGGCTATATATCCATCTGATCTGTGGAAAACATTTCCTATCGACGTCCCCTACCCACGTAATTCATCCTTATGCGTCTTATTATCGACCTTTTGTTAATCCTTTCACCTCCATTCTACTTTTGACACATACGATTATATATAAATAACATCCCTTACTGACATAATTCATCCTTATGTGTCTTTTATCGACAATACCTTCTGTAAATCCATTTCCCAAACGTGCATTCTAATCTTGATATTTAGAACATCCCTTATTTATTTATAAACGTAATTCATCCTTATGAGTTCCTTAAGCTTGCGTTTTTGTATAACTTAATTTCCAAGCAGATCGCGTGTTGGCAAGGCAGTATCCATTGCCCAATTCAAGCAGTGACCATTAGCCACCGTAGGATCTGCTTGGAGTTTAATAAACAGGGTCTGTAGTAAAGTTTCCCCCTATAGCCACATTTCATGACGATTCTTTACACGTACATTACAGGGCACTACGTGTAGAACGTGCACAGTCGGTACCAAGATGACCATACGATATACCCTAATATAGCCATGCGTTACACAATCTCTGGCTATCCAACTGACCGCTAGGAGCACGATTTGGTCAGGCTATGTCCTAATATAGACCGAGGAGGATTATGGGTGTGAGGACAGACGTGTGTGGGCGTGTGGTGGGCGGGGTCACAACCAAGCAGATGTGGGGGGGGGGGAATTATAACGTTTCCGTCAGCCCCTCTCCCTCTTTCTCACTGTCTCTTACACACATCATGGACACACACACACACACAGTCAGTCTAAGATGCACCAAAGAGGAAAAAGACGAAAATAAACTACAGAGAGAAATAACTTTTAGACTACATGGTTTACTACTCTCAATGCTGTGCCTTAGCAAATAAAATTGCACATTTACAGATCTTGACAGATACACATGTACAGATGTACTGTAGATAACTGATTCCAACATTCCTGCACGTTTAACTTTTCATACATGTAGATAGCATTAAAAGGCAGAAAACAAGTCTATGTCTTCATCCTTTTACTTCTTTTGTAAGTATATAACCAAGACCACCTTATTCGAAACATGCCAGAATTCGCCTGAATATATACTAGCCTTAGTCTGTAACACTAAGCTTCATACTTTCACATTTTGCTAAAAGTTTTCAGGGATTAAAAGCTTTAATTTTGCACACTTCTTGCATTCATCCCTTTAGCAACACATATATTATTCTTTGTGTGGCTTGAAGTCACTATCAATACTGTCTTTTTTAAGAGGTATATATGTGAATGAATTAAAGACTGCACAATGGGACTGACCTTCTTTCACTCTTTTTGACAAAAGCTTTTGTACTAGATACTAGACAAGTATTGTCCACCATTATCAAACTCTCTCAGTAACTAGTAAGGTAACATATGCAAAGCAAATGCATAATGTTTACCATTTCATATGGTCTGCTCTGTTAATTCTCTCTCAAACACATTCATATATATGGTCAGACAGGAGTATAAATCCTTCCTGCTATAAAATTGCAACATGATGTAACCCAACACTAGCTACCATGGTAACAGAGTCTGGTTCAGGTCATTGACCTTTTTAGTTCGGAGAAGAAGAGGAAACAGAGCAAAAACAATATGTTTTCATTCGATTAACATTAAAACTAAACATCTTGCTATCTGTACTCTCTTGCTCTGTTTATATCATATCAATTCTATACTAGAACAGCTGGAAAAGTTGAAAAAGTGATTAAACATGAATAAAATCTGAATTCATGATTATAAGGAAGTGCAAATGACTCCTGTATAAATCATAAAATCTTTCCACATAGAGCCAAGGAGTAATTTCAAACAAAGTTGCTATAGTCCCTCCATTTTTTTCAAACAACTGTGATCTCAAAATACAGAAACTAAAGCACCTTTAAGTATCTATACAAATACTATCATAAGTCTCAATGTAATAAATACTTCAATTTGCACATGACAGAGTTTAAAAATAGTTACACATACATGTACTACATTGCAACTCATTGTTTATTAGAGTTTTCACTAATATTGTAGTGTATATCATATATAACATACATCAATGACTGTCTACTCATGATAATGTAATACATATAACTGTCAAATTCCATTGTATTGTACAGCAAAATACATCTCCCCTGTTTTACAGTTGCAAATTGAGGGAGGGGGGAGGTATTAATACATTCCACATAGATAAATGGCCATAGTTTGCTGCTGTCTGATTGGATAACAATGGGCCAATCACTTTATCTCATATATGGATACATGCAGATTATTTGGCACTGTGACCTCGTTATTATATACAGTGGGGAATGAGCCAATCACATGGCACCTCATTACCATATGGTGAGGAATGAGCCAATCACATGGCACCTCATTTCCATGTGGTGAGGGATGAGCCAATCACATGGCACCTCTTTACCATATGCTGGGGAATGAGCCAATCACACAGTACCTCATTACTGGGGCCATATAGCACAATGCCCTTATTTACATTTTCTACATAATACCAGCACCTGTGTTTGTAATTCTATGTTTAAAAGCCTTGGGTTTTTCTTGCACAGAAATTGGTTCCATTCTAAAACAAGCTCTGGTGGGCAAGTTCCTGTGGTTTGTCTTGCCTATCTATATTTGTGGTACTTAGTTGATGGTCTACAACAGTGTTAAGATCCTGATTAAAAACTTCCATTGGCACCTGGTTCTTAACAGAACCAACGTCCGTGGTAACGATCGAGGCCAGCTGTCGCCGGCCGATTTTACAGTTGGTCATGACGTTGTGTGCAGTCTCCATGTGTTTTCTGAGGAGGAAACTGTGCTTGGTGTCAAAGTCACACATGTTACACTTGTAGGGCCGCAGGTTGGAGTGTCTCCTCACATGCTTGCGTAGACCGGCATTGTCAGCAGAGGCATAGTTACACATCGTACATTTGAATGGCTTTTCTCCTGCAAAGAAAACCACCAGATTAGTTAAGGATATGATTGTCAACAATACGTGTGAAGGCAAGGCTATCATAACACAATGTCTGTCTACAAACGAAAAACAGTCCTCTTCTTTGGTCTGTGAAGTCATCTAAACTTTTTGTTATTTTTTGTTAACAAGCAATATAGGGAAGCTTGTAATAGTCATGTAATACTTTTACTATGTTATCTCATATATATATATTTAATTCAGATTCAGTGCCAAATACCTGTATGTTTCCTCTTGTGCACATTGAGTTGTGACTTGTTAGCTGAACCATAGTTGCAACCTTCAAAGTCACACCTGTATGGCCTCTCCCCTGCAGGATACAAAAAAAAAGAACTTTAATTCGAAAGAGGCTCACTCAATCCAGAAACAAAATTAACTACATTGTAAATGTCTACTGTACTAGTAATTCACTTTGTCAAACTTCCTGACCAACAAACTATTGCTCTGATTAATATGTACATTCATATATGGTGACCAGCCCCTCCAACTGTCATGCAACTTGCTACATAATGTAACCAAATACAGCCTGTCTGCTACTACACCAGTTCAGGTTATAACCTTATATGTCAGAGAGGGAGAGTAAGAAGAAACAGAGCAAAAACAATATGTTTTCCTTCTACAAACTTAAGGTAATCATAATCCTTGAGGCAAATTAGTGTTTCACTAAGAGATTAAAGAGGCCATCTATATCAGGGCATTACAACCATCCCTCAACAGAGACGGGGGGCGCCGCAGACTTTCTGCAACCTACGATCCACTGCTCACAGAGTCATGTGTGTTAATGTGTGACATCACGGAAGCGGTAGATTGCTCATTCCCTGACAAAGACTGGAATTGTACAGTCGAAAATTTGGGTGAGTTGTTACAATTTCTTGTGTTGGATATTACACTTACAGTTCAAACTTATTCCACTAACCTGTGTGATAGGCCCTGCCATGGGTGACCAGCGAGTGGAAGTATGCGGTCTCAAACGGACACTGGTCGCACTTGTACAGCTTGAGTCCGTCGTGTTTGGCCTGGATGTGGTGCACCAGCTCGTAGTTCTTAAAGAACGTGTCTCCGCAGACGTGGCACATAGCCGTCTTGATCCCAGCATGCCGCAGCTCGTGCTGTTTCAGGTCACCCTTGCGGGCGAAGGTTTTACTGCACTGTCCGCAGACAAATGGCTTCAATCCTACGAGACACAGTAATTGGCATTATTAGGAGAGTCAAAACTTATAATGGATGGAAACGAACAAGCTTTTGGTCATCTCAACTTGAGAGGAATTAGAGCTTAAGTGTCACTTGTAATAATATGACCAGCTATGCAATACAACTCATCAACAGTGGCACTTTTCTTACCATAGAGTGATAGACATCTTTCTAAAGATTAGGAACAAAATCTCCAGTCTTACCTGAATGCTTAACTTGATGTCTGAGAAGGCTGTCTTTCTTAGGAGTGACGTAGTCACACTGGTCACATTTGATCATGCCTTCACCTGTCAACGATAGTCAACACCAACTTTTAAACCTTTTCCCTACTAATTAACCATGTAAACAGTAAAAATGTGATGCCAAAAAGGCTACTTTAGCAGGCTGAGGGTTAAAATGTAGACTGTATGACTATAATGGTCTTCCAGCCTTCAAAACCAGTTCAAAGTTTTCAAAAATGTTTTATCTGCACTTTATTTTCAAATTATTAAAAGTACAATTCTCAAAGAGCTAACCCTGTACCTGTGTGACGTCTCTCATGCAGAATTAAGTTCCTCTGCCAGCGAGTTGTGAACTGACAATACCTGGAAAAGAAGATCAATATTAGGACATCTTGAATTGTAATTATTGATATAATGGGTGCTGTTTCCAACGCAATGCTTCAGTAACATGTTGGCCTTCAAAATTTCTCATTATTTTAAATGTCAGTGTTTTAGAACTTTTGTAAGCATGATCCATTATGTACTTTGTAGATATCTTAGAATAGTACTGGTAACGTATTGAAAGTGACATACTTGCATTCGTGCATCCTCTGATGTCCTAACTGATGCCTGCGCAGGTTTCTCAGGCTCTTAGCCATGAAGGTACAGTTATTACACCTGTACTCCACCTTCCCATGGGTCTCCAACATGTGGGACTCCAGGCCATCCTTCTTCTGGTCAGAGTAACCACACATGTGGCACTTTAACAGATTTTCAAGCTGCTGCTTCTTTGCTCTTGACCTCCTAACTCTAGTTGTCTTAGTTTTTGTTTTGTTTGAAGCTTCACTGCATTCCTTGCTTGCTTTTGTCTCTGAAATGTCTGTGTCGTTATCTTGATTTGCTGTGTTCTCTTCCAGGCTTTGACTGGAAAAACTTTTAGGTTCATCATAGTTCAAAACATCTTCACTGACAGTGTCATCCTCCTCATCTTCACAGACAGACGCCATGTCTATCGTCACTTTGTTGCGTCCTCCTATGTCTTCCTTGGGGCTCATTTTTTGCCGTCCTTTTCCGGACGTATCCGTCAATAGCGTGCTCATCATCTGCTGAAACTGTTGTCCGTCCCATTCTCCCATCGAACTGGTACCCACTGTCTTCTCACAACTGCCCCCCTCCCCTTTCCCTTCTTCCACACTGCCTGGCTGATAGCTGACTCTGTACGTAAAGCTACTTTTCTCGTCACCTGATACAGGTGCAGCTGTATTCTTTGCAGGTGCAGCATCCTCACACGAGAGCATGCCCTCTTCACACCTGGCCTGCAGGTGCTCGACAAACTTCTTCACACTGCCGGCCTTGAAGCAGCACCTGGAGCAGGTGATGTTGATGACAGGTGCTTTCAGGTGTCCGTACAGGTGCAGGGCACAGAGTAAGTCGGTCAGCGTCTGCACGACGTCTGAACAAGGGCGGCAGGTGGTCTCATCCAGCAGTTCCTGTTGTACATGGTCCACTAACCACTGTCTGTACACACGTGTGTTACAGTGAGAACACACCACACTCTCCGCTACGTCCATCCTAACACAGGTCTCCACTCTTCACAAACTACAAGTTCTTGAAGGTAGTGTTAAGAGTTGCCAGTCAGAAATCAGCCCTACAGAAACATGAGATAATCACATATTAAGTAAGGCCTAGAAAAAAATGTTTTCTGATTCCCAACCAACCCTAGAAAAAACCTGCCAACCCTAGACTTTTTTGGGTGGTGGACCCCTGCAAGGGACATAAGTTTTCTAGCTAATCAACCTTTTCTAGCTCCATGATCTGACACCTGAGTGATAAAACGATGTAGAATTGTTTATTAAACATTGACATTGAAAATAAAAGTGTCCTCATGCAAGTTTTACAACTAAGAATCCCTCTTTGGTAATTTATCTCAAGACTGGACAGAATATTGCATAATTGTATTTGATTATATATGCACAAGTTATAAGGTAGTGTTACCATTATATTTTTTTGGACAACGACATGTCATGATCATTTTCATAGGCTGAGCAAGAAGTTTGCATAATTTTAAATCATATAAATTTTAAATGGTAGTCCTGCAGTTTTTACATTTAGAAACGTTTTGTTTGACATCCAGTGAAAATCACTTAGACCTACTACTAGTACTTGGCATGCATCGTAGATTTGCTTCCTGGACGGACTTCTTCGATCAGTATTTAATTAAACATAACTATACACATAACCTACATGTATACTACTGAGTGCTATATGCGCCCCCCTCCCCCCAAGTCCTCTAAACAAAATCATGCATTTCAGCAAAATCTGTTCATAATCATGGGCATTACTTTCCTTGTGAATTCCCAATAACTGTTTAGAAATAAAAGCCTACCTCTTGATGTGAAGTAGAGGATGAATACTTACATATGACGTATTTTCGTCAATCAAATTTTTTTTTCCGCTCCTGGCCGCCATATTGGTACTGATGCATTATGGGACTGCTGGGATATTCCATTCAATAAAATAAAAGTTGTGCTCAAATAATCAAGTTGCGTCAAAACGAAGTTCAAATTGAAAGAAAAATAATTAAATCGAAAATGTTATACACTCAGTTTGGTTACAGTTGCGTCAGTAACAGTTTTATTATGTGCCCTCCCTTTTTTTAATAATTTCAAATAATGTTCATGTTCATGACAAAGTACAGGGGCAATGTAACACAGTGCAAAACTATTTGCGCACTCGCTAGCACATAGCCATACTGACATTCTTTAAAAATTATTCATGTTTACCGAAGGAGAACACATTGTTTTTGCTCGGTTTTCTCTTTTTCTTCTCCAAACATGTACACAAATAAGGTCAATGATCTGCACCAAACGTCTGTCACCATGGTAACTGGTGTTGGGTTACATCATGTTGCAATTTTATACCAGGAGTCCTGTCTGACCATATACATATATATATATGTATGTATGTGTTTGCGTAAGAAGTAACAGAGCAGACCATATGCGAAGGTAAACATTATGCATTTGCTTTGCAAATGTTACCTTTCTAGTTAAGTTACTTTTTTAATTCAAAACTTGCGCCTTTAATCTTTTATCAAATTCATATATACTAGTATCCATATATTGTGTAATCCAAGCATTATTAATTCAAATTCAAACTTTTTAAAAATAATTTTCTTATTCCCATCCGAGATACATTTTAGACTGGGTAGAAAGCCTCAGACGCGATGCCGCACGTGTTCTTCCCCCTCTCAATGAGTATGTAGCCCGCCAGACCCCAGTCTGTACCTGCGAAAACAAAATACACAAAAAGTGACACATTTTTGGCGACGCCTCTGAGGTGAGCCTAATAGCACAGTATGTAATCAGTCCGAACAAGGACCATACGTCAATTTCACAGGAATTTGCTGTATTGTAAGTGCCAATGCAGGGACTGACGGATCGATATGTAACGTTAGATAGCTTAAGGTAAAGATTCCTTGGTAGTCCTTCGTCATCAAAGAAGACTGCTAGTGTCCTCGTTCACGGGGGATGTAAACATAAAGATGATAAGGTTAAGATGGACAAAATTAACTACTATATTATTCGACTCAGGATAATGCATCCCTCTGCATTTTCGTAATCTTCGGTAACTACTTTTTATCGCACGTTACATTTAATTACGTTTATCGAAGGAAAACATATTGCTTTTGCTCTGTTTCCTATTCCCTTTTTAAAACACAAAAGGTCAATGACCTGAACCAGACGTCTGTCACCATGGTAACTGTTGTTGGGTTACATCATGTTGCAATTTCATAGCAAGAGGGATTTAGACTCCTGTCACCATAGATATGATATATGTTTGAGTAAGACTGAACAGAGCATTATAAAACCATACAATGTATGCAAATGTTCCCTTTGTAGACTCGAAGAAGTTCATATTGTCTTTTTCTGAAGTTATGAATTAGAAAAGTTTGACTGGAAATTTCTTGATTTACCCCAGCTGTTTTGGCAGATCCAGTAGTCTATCCTCCAGAACTCCCATAACCACCACGAGCAGGGCGTGGTTGAGGTCAGAGGTTGAGCAGTGCGGGTCGTGGTAGATGCCGGAATGGTAGAACGCCATGGACGGCTGGCTGGCGTCTATACCAGCCACCGTGGGTGTCATGGCAACGGCGCACATCAAATCAGTTTCGTTGTTCTTGATGACGTGACCAGTGTCTCTACACTGTGATGGATAGACAAGTAGTAATGAAAGAAATATTCGATCATTTAAACATTGGTAATACCATTGGAATGTTTGTTTACAACTACATTTTACGATCTGATTTTTTACGACTCTGAAAATTTGTTTCCGCATTGATGAATAGCATTGTCACGAAGGAAACTTATTTAAGAATTGGCATGGGCTACTTTCAAATCTAAAGCGATGGACTTTATGGACTAACTAAATTGGATCTCCTGCCTTCTTCAGAGTGACTGAATCAATTGTTGTCCTAGACACGTGACCCGTTGCCTAGTATCAGTTCATACTTCTAAAGTAACTTTCACTATTCCTGTTTCCGACATCCCTATTCCAAGAGAGAGAATATTGTGTTCTTTTCTTTCTTGTAAAAGAAAACCCTAATAAAGTGGTAGTCGTGCATTATGACAGTAATTTGAGTAAAGTTACACCCAGCTCCTATAACACTAGCTAGTAAGATCTAGTAAGTTTCTTCTTCTTCTTCTTTCATTTTGAGGCAGCCGCTTTCAACTAGTTGAAGATTCTGCTGCCTTTTTTGTGGTTAAATAAGAGATGGGGTTTGCCAGGCCTCCATCCAGGAAAGTCGTGTAAAGTGCCCTTCCCAAGGACACAAGCTCGGTGACATGGCAGGGTTCGAACCCGGGACCTCTTGGTTCTGAGTCAAACGCTTTGCCGTTACGCCACACGACCCCACACTTGGTTGTTGTTGTTGTTGTTGTTGTTGTTGTTGTTGTTGTTGTACGTACATTTGCGGCGGCCTGGCAGAAGGCGGCGTTACAGTTCCCGGCGGGTTGACTCGGGTAGTCCCCGGCGCTGCAGAGCCCCTTGGTCCGGTGGATGATACAGTCAAACCCCGAGGCTAACGTCGAGTCTCCGCAGCAGTCCATCGCCTCCTGGACACTCAGCTGGACCATCTGACCTGTCTTTATGATATGGTAGCACTCCAAAGCCTCTATAGTATAAAAAGAGCATGCAATAACGACATTATTATCAAACTCGCGTGAGTGTTCATCAGTATTACATAAACTTAGAGACATTGCTTAATTTCTAAAAAAAAATCAACACGACTTCCTAAAACATGAACATAGCTTTCTAACATCTGGCGCATTGTCCAAGTCATGTATCATGTGCATTTTCATTGGTTGCAATTCCTCACGGCGGTTTTAGTTGTTTTTTTTTCTATACTCGTATTGGCGTTGAAACAATATGAATATCCATTGGCTAGATATCCTGACGAACTTTCACTATATCTTTATGCTGACCTTCTGTAAACCATTTTGTTTATCCTACGGATCGGCATAGAGTATGCACGAAAGTTACCTCGGGTGCCATCCTTCGTAGTTAGTTACCGATGTGGAGCCGGCGATAACTACGGAGGATGACACCCAGGCTAACTTTCATGTATACTTGAGAAAGACGTAGACTTCTTCGATGGACATAACAACTGCGTGCACGATTCAACAAAAGCCAGGGGGCCCTAGTCTTTCGACCAACTTTACGTTGACAGGTGCACTTACAGGCTTGCGTTAGCGCTCACAGACCTAAACAGAGACGGGGGGCGACACAAGTTATCTGGCACGTATGACCCGCTACTATGGTCACGTGTCTCTGACGTTACGTTCCAAGTGCAGACGGGTCCTTTTCTTGAACAAGGTTGAAGGAATCAGCTGGAAATGTGGGGTAAGTCCCTAATTTATTTTAGTGTTGGAAAGAAAGCTTAGTCTTTATTTCACAGGTGCACCTACCTGTCAGTACAAAAGGGATGACCTTTCCTGTCTGCCCCTCCTCCCTCACCCCACTGCTCACACCCTTCTTACGCCAGTCCAGGGACGAGGGGGGCGTGGTCCCGCCGCACGCTCCCATGGCAACGGGATGACGCGCCCGGTTCATCTCTTCTCGTTCCCAGGTTTCACCGTTTCTTACGACATTTGTGTATCCGTGAAGCTGTATCTAAGAGACGGTCAAGAACAAATTTATGACAGTTGCTAGAAAAATGCTATATGTCATTACCGGAATAAGGAATCACCATGTGCACCATGTAATAGTATACGCCAGAGACATAGGTGCAAGTAACTAAAGAAATCTTTATTCCTGGCTATCACTGCTTTGTAAATTGCACGAATATATCTAAACTAGGATGGTAACATTTGCAATGCAAATGCATAACGCTTACCTTCGCGTATGGTCTGTTCTGTTAATTCTTGCTCAAATACATTCATAAATATGGTGACAGGAGTATAAATCCCTCCTACTATAAAATTGCTGCAACCTTATGTAGCCCAACACCAGTTACCATGGTGAGAGACGTCAACAAATCAGGTCATTGACCAGGTCAGAGGTCAGTGTTTGGAACGGAAGAAGTGCAGCTCGGAAAAAAAGCCTGTCAATTTACCGTTAAGCGTTGCCGACCGTCCTGAATTTACCGTTAAGCGTTATCGGCCCTGCTGAATTTACCGTTAACCGTTGCCAGGACCCCCCCATGCAAACCCTCTTACTACGCTCCCCTGCATGGGTGGGAGGGGGGATTTATGAAATACATGACATGGGACTGTCCAGGTGATAAAGTAAGTCTTTGTTGAATACAGAACACGTTCAGCAGTTTGTTCGTTGAGTTTTGGTCTTTACTTTACTGTGTCATCCATGTGACTTGAATTATAATGTTGGGCTGTGGCAGAGGATTTTGTTGTAAAGAAGACAAGGATTGAAAGATAAGTGTACTTTTGTAGAAACATTAAACCCTCTGAAACTGGAGAATAAAGAGCTGTAGTCTATATTGTTGATTTTTTGTAAAGGGAACTAAATCTTAAAATTGAAAAGCCTGGTATACTATGCTACATATACCCCAAACCCAAGTTTTCATGTTTTTTTATCAGCCTATTATTGATTGGACAGTGTTATTTTACTTATTTACTTAAATTACTTGTGTAACGTTAATAGCCTTTGCATAAACAAAGTTGTAAGTGTGAAATGAAATTTTATGCCTAACGTTAATGTCCAATGACCTTTGTGTCACATTTTCCAACACAGATGGAGGGCTGGCACAGAGCAAATAATGTGGCAGGGATCTCTGCTGTACATAGAGTACGCCTCAGACTAGCGTGAGTGACAGTTTCCTGTTTTGTAATAATATAAAGGCCTTACGCCACACCAATTTAATTTCTTGGTTAACGGATTCGCCGCTTCATTTTTTCTG